GAACTTGTTTTATATAAAAAACAACAAAACATTAGATAACCCAATGCATTTATGCTTAAAGAATTGTTTTCTTTTTTTTTTTTTTTTTTTTTTTGTGGAACTGGGAATTGAACTCAGGTCCTTGCGCTTGCCAGGCAAGAGCTTATTCTACTGAGCTATCCCCCCGGACTCAAGAATTGTTAAGTTTTCTATGGACAAAGCTATATTTATTTCTCTTCTGATTCTTCAATTTAGACTTGGGTAAGCATTTAGAAATCCCTTTCATCATTGAAACCATTCACTATGAATTGATTAGAAGTTAAAATTAAATTAATTATAAAATAGAAATTCTGTTCTCAATTCATGGTACATTTAAATTCTTTGTAAGTATAATATTTTCCTAAAGTACTCTGACACAAATTCATAAGACTGCCATAGACATTCCACTGTACAAAAATATAAAAGAAAGCTCTGAGGAAAAGTTTATATGACGTTCTACTAACAGCTTTATTGTGTGAAATAAGAATTCAGATGGATATAAGAAAGGACTTGGAAGAGATATTTTAAAAGACCATGACAGCTAAACAAAATATTCTATCTGTCCAGAAAGCTAAACACAGACAATTAATGTATGTGTCTAGTCTATAAGACATATAATATTATAATCATTTTACAGTTTAAAAAATACTTGGAATGATCTTTGCTCAAGTGAAATATTAAGATATCCAAGCAAATCAGGTTCCAGCCCCAATATTTGAAAAGGTGAAATTTATCTTTATAAACTCACTGCTGTTCTATGGAAGCTCTAGCAATTTGAAACACTCTTAACAAAGTGTTTCAGGATGGTTTCTGCTTAAAGGAAGTGGGACAGCATTCTCTCTGAAGTACCTCCAAGCTCAAAATGCATAATACCATTCCATGAATTATGTAAGGCAATTTCACACTCCTCTCTGTTCATCCTTCCTGGTAATCCCATATTCCTTAACAGAGCCTTATTTTAATGTTTCTTGCATCGTCTTGGCTGTGCTGTGGGTAATTTGTGAAAGAAATGATCTGTCTCTATTTTAAACAAAGGAAGCAAGAGAAGACCACACAGCTTACCACCATGCTTTCAGCAGGCATGACAGTGGCAAAGTGAGTGAGGAGCGATTGTGACCCTTCCCTGAGGCCCAAGACTAGAAAGGCAAGGCCCAAAGGAGCAGGCTCCACTGCCTGCCCTACTTGGGAAAGCACCCTGAACCACCTTGCTTTCTGCAGCCCAGTATTTCTTCCAGTGACCTTGCCCTAAAGGAAGGGCAGTATTGCCTACACAGCCAGCTCAGCGGTGGATTCAGGTAGCATCTGAGAGTGAGCAAGTGCCACAGTCCTTTCCTTCAGAGCATTAAAATCATGTGTCTCATAATGCATGAACTGAGGCTTCGTGAACATTAGTTTAGCAGATATATTTAAATCAAGGAAATGAAAAATATTTGTTTTCTCAGTAAATCCAGATTTGTTGTCAGTCTCAGGATAAGAAGTATATTCCAGAGGAGCTATGCCGGCAAGCCAAAGTAACTGAGTTGAGTGTTACACACAGTTCTCACATACCCTCTCACATGGGGTTTCCTTGTCTGGAAGTCCTGGTGCACCCTCAACTCCCAACACCACTCACTCAACCTCTTCTTGTATGAAAACTTGGATTACGAGGTTCCTTTGGGAAAACATCAAAATGCCTCTCCAGATGGCTGGTGGCAGCAGCAGCAGCCTTGAGAAAGCCAGAGGGGCTGACTCGTCAGTCACAGGGAGTGGGGAACTTGTCCCTTTTCCATGAGTCTAGCATGGCATCTCCTTTTCTCTTTCCACTTTGCACGTTTTCTACATTCCCAAAGCAGCAGTACACAATACCTGATTGGATGTAGGTGTGTGTTATGTTACTCTCAATGCCGCCTTTAAGCTTAATTAGTGAGGAAAGTGAGGGGATTCTATGCACCAGTGACCCTCCAAGGAGATCTTGATGCAGCTTATCTTATGTCTATAACTGCAAAATACAGCTGATATCCATACAAATGCCACTCCTGCAGTCATGCCTTCCTCCAAATAATGTCTAGGTGTGAGTATAAAGTAATACATAAGACAAATTAAACAGATATCTTATGAATGTTATGTTCTATGAGAGAAGATAAATGGGGCATCGATGGAGAGAAAATAAACCAGCAGAGCATATGACCAGAAATATCTGTAGACAGTGACAGACGTTGAGAGCAAAGCAGGATGAGAAGGTGGAGAAGGACGGGCAGTAGGAGCAGAGCACTGCTGATGCCCTGAGCGCTGGGCAAACATTGTCCTGAAATGGTGACTTGCAAACTAAGCACCTGATAGGAAAAATGAAATCCAGGCGCAGGAAAGCCCAGGGGTTCACAGTCACTATACAACAAACTGATATGGACTGGGGCTGTAGGGGACACAGCCTAATGGAAGAGAAGGGCTATGGCCAGACCATCCCCGAGCACATCTTGAAGGGCTTGGGTCTTTGTAGTCTCTGGGGAGAAATTTGGATTGTATTCACATGAGGACATTTGATAAAAAGTGAGGGAAGTTCTGGAAAAATGATATCACTATGGAATCTATTGTAAGGAAAAGCTAACAAAACTCATTAGATCAGGAATAGGGAGTGAAGCAATGGTAGAAGAAAGGATGAGATGGCAGGATTTCCATCTAAGCTTTTAGGAAAATTGAGGCCCAGATGTTAAGAAAGAGTACAATTTGAGGGCTTAAAGTTCAGTTTCATGTGATCTAGTTGAATTTGATAATGTTAACTAGGTTCCAGATGAAGAAGTATAGTAGACAGTTGAAGGTAGAAACCTGCAATATAAACCATACAGAAAACAGGACTTAGTTAACACAGCAAGTGTGCGGTCATTACTGTGGCACCCAGGCATGGCCAGCAACATCTTCCTCCAACCCCAGACCTCAGGGAACACTCAGCTATGTCTGAGTTGGGATTGTGAGGGAGGACAGAGCCCAGTGGGGACATTTGTGTACCTAAGAGTTTCATCAGTGCCCAGAAGGAATCGGTCCTCTGATGCATCCTGCTCACAGCATTGACTGTCTTGCTAAATGGTCTCTGTGCTTTTCAGCACCTTCCTTGCATGAGTTCTTGTAGTTATGGTGCCTGTGATCCTTTTTCTGGGTTTCCAGAGATGGTCAACTTCTCTGCACACCTACACAACCTTTTCTTAGGTGCGTTAGCACCGTCACTGGGCTTTGTGGCAAAGACTTGTAGATTCTTGGAGGTTTCTTAATGCTTTTCTCTCAGAAACACTTGGGCGTTTCCCTGCTCTGTGCTGCAGGAGAGAAAGCCACCAGCCAGAGCAAGTGTTCTATAAATGGCAGCCCTTGTTAGTATTATGCCTCAAAACCCAGGAGTTTAAATGGAAACCCATGGTGTGTTCTTTTCTGTCCCTAAAAGATCATAACATTTTTTTCCATAATTTTATTGAGAAACAAATAGCAATGAGACAGTTTTAAACCAAATTGGTAGGACAGTTTCAATAACTAACACTTTGCATACTCTCTTCCTAGTGGTTATTTGCTGTACAAGATGCAGACATGATATCCTATTTACAAACACTATTACAACAAATCCCTCTATTCATTAAGAGAATGTAACTATATATCTATCCTAACCATTTTGAATACACACATACGAAATGGACATTCAT